TGGACACGTCAAACCCCTCCCACGCGGGGTGGGCGTCCCGCACGCGGCGGGCGGCCACCCACACGGCGCTGTTGCACTTGAAGCCGCTGCCAAAGCCGAGCTGCCACACGCGGTCGCCCTTGCGCACGCGGCCATTGTGCTCAAGGTAGGCCAGGATATACCTGATGACAAAGCAAGTTTACGCATAAGGGGCATTGCAGGACTTTCTTGATTCACTGCTGACAGGACTGAGCCTCAAGGCAGCCTGTCGCAGCAGTGTGCTGCTCGCTGTCCCTGCTGCATGGGCGCCGTGCAGGCAGGGGCCGCAGCGACGCGCTGCCATCGTACTCGACTCGGCCCCGCGGCGGCGGCGCACCCACTGGGACATTGCCTGACCCTGCTGCCACGGTAACGGACACAACTATGTGAAGTTGACGCCCGCACAACCGCACGGCCCCGCTTCTTGCCCACGCCACCTTGCACACACGCAAGCGCTTGCTAGCAGAACCCCCTCCCCCTGCAGCAGCCGCCCCACCAGATGCTGGCGCTGCTGGTGTTGCCAAACTGGTAGAGCGCCGCCCTGCTGGCCTCCACCCACGCCTTGGGCAGCGCGAGCTCCTTCTCTATGGTGTCGATCACCCCGCGGCCGCCGGTGTGGATGCACATGTGATCAAACGCCCGCTTGAAGTCGGGCGTGTACGGCCGCGTCCACGTCAGCGGCAGCGCGCGGGCGGCCGGCTTGCTGGCCGCGGCGAGGCGGCGGGCGAGCAGGTTGGCCGCGAAGAGAAGCTGCTCGCTGAGCGGCAGGACGAGGGGCCCAAGTGACGTCATGTTGGCGCGGAGGGCGCGGGCGGCGACCGCCATCAAGTCCTTGCCCAAGCGGACGCCCCACTGCGGCGGGGGTTTTGGTTTGTTGGAGCGGTCGCAAGAGGCGGAGGAGCAAATAGCTCATCAGCCCGGTCTCGAGGAGGGGAACCTTGCTTGGGCTGGAGCTTCTGTGGGCGCTGTGCCGAGCGCCCGAGCAGGCACTCAACAGTGCTTGCACCATTGCCCTGCTCGCTCGCCGGCAATAAGTCAAGACCAGCATGACTGTCAACAAGGGACGCGCTGTTCGCTCCTGTGATACCCGCTCCTTTGCCTCTGTATAAACAGAGCACAGTCCCGGCGCTACCCAAGGGCCCCAACCAGCAGCTTCCGCCCACCTTCTGCTCGTCGTCATCCATCTGCAGCACGCAGTTGTAGGCCTGGTCGTCCGCCGCCAGGTTGGTGCGCACCACGTGAGCCAGCCGGTACTTGGCGCGCCGCGCGTCGGCGCGGCGGCTGCTCAGCAGCACGGCGGCGCCGTTGGCGCGGAATATGCAGTTGGACACCTGCGCACGTTAGTTTGGACATGTGAACCACGGTGGTCGGGGGTGGCGGTAAGGTTGCGACGGAGAATGGCAGCGGGCCGCTCCCTGGCATGGGAGCATGTTGGTGTATGGCATCAGCAGCCAGCCACAGTGTTGGCGATTTGAAAAGTGCTGGCAGCCGTCCGGGAGTCCCGCCCAGGGGCAGCGAAACACCCCCAGCGCCGCCACTCTGCAGCCGATGGTCGCTGGCCGATCACCTGCATTGACCTGTCTGCGCCCTTGTAGTGTGCGTTGGTGATATTCTCGTGGGACACCACCAGGCAGTACTCGTCGGGGTGGCGCTCCAGCAGCTGCTGCGCCAGGTCTAGGGCGATGACGCCCGCGCTGCAGCCCATGCCGCCCAGCGAGAAGTTCTGGGGGCGGGCGGGGGCGAGGGAAGGCGCAGGGTGCGTGGGAGCACGGGGCTGTCGGCGTGGCACGAAGCTGGTTTGGACCATCTGATTGTTTCGATTTTGCGCAGTGTGACAAGGTTGCTATAGATGCCGACCAGGTTGGGTTGGCCTAGGCATAAGGGTCTGCAGGGTGAAAGCCAGCATCCATGCACACGCTGTATGCGCACTCAACACACCTGCGTCTTAGGGCCGAACTTGAACTTGTTCATTATTACGGCGCTGAGGCTGGGGGTGGGGTTGAACAGGCTGCTGTTGGTCACCAGGAACCTGATCTGCTTGGGGCTGACGCCTGTCTTGGCGAGCAGCTGCTCGACCGCCGAGAAGCACATGACCTGCAATTGCGCGTGGGTGATGGATAGATGTCCACTCTTGAAAAGCTGGCACCGGCGGCATCCCAATGCCGCGATCAGATCGGTACAGGGGTTGCAGATTTTGTGAAGGGGCCGGCACACAACTGAGGTGCAAGGGACGGTATGACCAAGCTTCTGGAGGCCCGTAATTCCTTGAGAAAACAGAGTCTATGACGCCTCCCGTGCATCTCAAAACCTTTGCATGCATGAGACGAGGCGTATGCGTCAGCTGCAGGCCAGCCCCTCCGATTCACCCCCCTGAATGGCAGCGTGCCCACCTCAAACTCATGGCGTGCCACCGACATGCCTGTCAGGCGCGCCATGATGGCTGGTGTCACAGCGGTCTCGTCGCCCAGGCCGGACCTGCGTGGATCAACACGTGCACGCATGGCACAGAGAGATGCAAACGACGGCTATTGAAGGCCGCTGTTTTGGCCAGTCGGTGGCCGTCGCAGTCCGTGCTGGTTTCGACGCTTGTGTGCATATTCACTCTTTGTGGGCGCAACCTCAGTACCCACTTGCACATTATTCTGGCCTATTCCATGACCCACCTGAGGGTCACTTTCTCCTGAAATTCAAGGTCCTCGGGCGAGAACAGCCCCTCGCTCATCGGCGCCAGCTCAGCGCGCCGAAGCCGCCAGGAAGCCGGCGCGCGGTGCACTGCAAAGTCCACCAACTGGACTGGCGGGCGCCGCGCGGGCAGCAGGCGCACGAGCAGGGCAGCGGCCGCGGCCAGGGCCACTAGCACGATACCCTGCGGCGGAAAGAAGGGCGGCAAGCGGGCGTGTAACCCTCAGTCCAAGGTTACTGCAGGCTGGCGCCCTGCTTCACGCTGGCCGGGAGTGACGACGCGCTGCCGCCCGTTCATACACTCGAGCCCACATAACTCACCACGCCGATGCCCAGGCGGTCGGTAAGCAGCTGAAAGGCTTCTAGGGCGCCCGTTTGCATAGTGATGCCGTCCAGACCACGCTGCAGGTTTTGCAGGGGGGTGGGGCGACATGAC